TAAAAATCACCGGCTCCACCCAAGACTCCCGGAATAAAACTCTGCATTTTAAGATGTCCAGATGATTTCTAACTACATTGATATCCAGCTTCCTAGGAATATGTGGAATCTCTATTTCTGGCCTTGGAATCTCTCCCCTGAATGCAAGACATAAAAGAGTATCTTAGGAAACATTCTTTGCTACAGTTCAGTGATCAGAGCAAGAAAAGCAGGTGCAAAGTACACCTGAGCCTGAAGGCACCTTGAGGGTGGAAACTAATTAGTCTTTCCAAGGTGAGTACGAACTCTCACATTCCCAAGGTGGATCCAGCATTGGTAGAAGGCATGACCCTTTTGGATAAATGGGCAATGCTAATTCTTTATGGCTTCATCCATAGTCATCAGTGCCCATTGCAGGAATCCTTGTATTTTCTCATCCACTCAGGTTGAAAGGAAATAGTTGGTCAGATTTCTCAAGGGAATGCAAAAATAGTTTTCGTGTATATAGTTGAGTAGTTTTGATTTTCTTGTTCTGTTCTTTCTCTAATTTTTTTTTTTTTTGCAGCTTCTGCTTTTTGAGTCTCCAATTGTCTCTGTATTGAGTGAGTTACATCTGGTCCTGTGTTACCTGCCTGAGGAAGCCATCTGAGCCAGCCTTCATGGCCATGGTGCACCCAGCTGATGGCTACAATGAATCAATTCAGGTGCTTAGATAAAGTGATAGGTTCAGAGAATTTGGGGGCCCAGCATGTGGGATTCAAGACCAGGAAGCTAGAAACCTGGTCAGGAGTGTCTCCTTTGGATGCATCTCAGTAAAAGATTTAACTGTATTCCTTTTTATCAACGAGATCCGGGGCTTCTAGGAGCCTTAGTGTAGGGACCGTCTAGCTTCTGAGGATTGTCTGTGATTGGTCCATGACTTCATTAGGGACAGCTGTGCTGAGTCTGCCACATGCTGATGAGTCTACTGGGAAATTGATCCTCGTGTTCTCAAAGGAGGAAAGAGGTCCTGAAAGTTGGTGATAAAATGTGCCTAATCATTAGTGCTGGGGTGAAGTGGGATAGGAAGCCAGGTCATTTTTACGTTGACTCAAATGGAATGAACAAGTCTCAGAAATTGTTTGGTTTGGAAATATTAAACTATGAGGCAGTCATTATATTTTAATGTTAATGATTCATACCTAGATGTATAGATGTGTGATTCTTCCGTCATGGAGACTATTAAGATATTTGGGTACACTGACCAAAACTCACGGCTTCTTCTTGTTCACAGAACTTAGTAGAAAACCAGTGAGTCCTCATTTGACTTTTTAAACTGAGAATACAGATTCAAGCTGGTCAGTTTTCTACATTATTTGGACGTGTTGAATGGAGGGTAAAATTTCTCAAATGATCTTTAAGAGGTAAGATTAAATTTAGAAACCTTTATTCATTTTGTAATATGTATGAGTAAATTACTTTATATTATTTTATTTTTTAAAAAAATTTATTTATTTATTTGAAAGGTAGAGTTACAGAGAGGCAGAGGAAGAGAGACAGAGAAAGAGACACAGAGAGAGGTCTTCCATCCGCTGGTTCACTCTCCAGATGGCCACAATGGCCGGAACTGGGCTGATTTGAAGCCAGGAGCCTGGAGCTTCTTCTGGGTCTCCTATGTGCATGTAGGGGCCCAAGGACTTGGGCCATCTTTTGCTGTTTTCCCGGGCACATTAGCAGGGAGTTGGATTGGAAATGGAGCAACCAGGGCTGGAACTGGTGCCTGTATGGGATGCCAGCACTGCAGGCAGTGGCTTTACTCTCTATGCCACAGCACAAGTCCCATTTGTAAATGACTTTATATAAGACTTCCTTGGCCGGCGCCGCGGCTCACTAGGCTAATCCTCCGCTTAGCGGCACCGGCACACCGGGTTCTAGTCCCGGTCGGGGTGCCGGATTCTGTCCCGGTTGCCCCTCTTCCAGGCCAGCCCTCTGCTGTGGCCAGGGAGTGCAGTGGAGGATGGCCCAGGTGCTTGGGCCCTGCACCCCATGGGAGACCAGGAAAAGCTCCTGGCTCCTGGCTCCTGCCATCGGATCAGCGCGGTGCACCGGCCGCGGCGGCCATTGGAGGGTGAACCAACGGCAAAGGAAGACCTTTCTCTCTGTCTCTCTCTCTCACTGTCCACTCTGCCTGTCAAAAAAAAAAAAAAAAAAAAAAGACTTCCTTATGGTTCTTAGAGGGAATTATTTAGGCAATCCCTTCAAACTTGAAAATATCTTCTTGGGATTGAGTTTCTTTCTCTTATAGTCGGTACGATAAATTTGGTGTAACTTCAGTGTATTACATTACACTTCATCTGTGGGGAAATTAGTTACACGAAGCAATTCAAAGATGGTGCCTAAAGGAAGTAAGGTGGGCGGAATCCAAAGTTGTTTACCACTAAAACTAATTGGCTACGCAACATCAGGGGAAGTGGCAGCAACTGATATCAAGTGTATAGACATATGGCCAGTCCTATGAAAATCACCCCGTAAAGTGACCCTTTAAGTGATTGGTTGGTCTTTATGCCCTGCCCCAATGACTCTGCAGTTTTGTGCTTTAAACGGCTCTGTTACACGTGAAATAAATGAGTTCTTGCTAGACTTGATTCCCTGCTGCGTCTGATTGTCTCCGGGATCGGGAGGCTGGGGAACGGGCGAGCGGCGCACTTACCTTTCTTCGGACCCAGTCCATCCTCGTACAGGTGGACTAAGACCCTGCATTCATCCAGCTCAGGATTAGGAGGAATACAAGATTCTTCTAACATCTGAGATCCTGTCTTGGTATCGAAGCTGGCAAATTTGAGAGTTGGAACGGAGGAGGTTTCTGTGCCCACTGTGGACTCTGTTCAAGCACAGGTATTTCCAAATAGGTTTTCCACAGATGCCCAAGAAAGGTTGCAGAAGAGCGTTGTCTCCTCAAGTTGATAGGTATGGTGAGCAGTCAAGGGGAGGGAGAAGAGGCAAGTAAAAACGAATCCAGTCAGGCCCAGTTCCAAACTGGCTTTCAAACAGAACCCATCTCTCAAAATACTTTAAGAGGTTTTGAGGCTTATTTTTTTCTTCTTCTAGCTAATACATTCTAGTTTCTAATTCCTGTATTTGATAGGGCACTTTTACTTCATTTTAGGAAAATTGTGTATGTGTGTGTGTGTAGCTTTTATGTGAATGCAGGACTTTCTTCTCCATATATTTTTTATTTGGATTTATCTCTCTCTTCAGGCAGCTTCTCAGGTTTGAAAAATGCCAGGCTGATCTTTCATTTACCTGAGCAGGAAAGGCCTCTGTGCTGCTCTGGCGACCTTGAAAGCTTTGGCACTGCTGGTTCGACCTCTATCCTCTGGCCGCTTCCTTGCTTTCCTGTCTCAACCCCTTTCTTACTCTGTCCCATCTCTTTCTTTCCAGCTGTTCACATCAGAGAAACAAAGAACAGCTACTCTCATTGCTATTCCAGCTCTGTGGATACTGTATGCATACTGTATATATGCAATGAACCCTGTATATTTTTATTATATTTTATGCATACTGTATATTGTATTTATACATGCTGTATATATGCAATGAGTCTTATATATTTTTATTATAATTACTGAACAAATCTTTAGAGTATACCTTCATTTCTATTTTCTTCTTATATTATGTCAGTTATTCAAAGATTTATAAATTATGATAACTAATGAGTTGCATTTAATAATTGATAACAACAGTATCAAGAATCTTTTTTTGTGGAAAAACAACCATTATCACACTATTTTTTTAAAATTTTCACATATTTTAGTTTTGAAAGATGCAATACTCCAATATATATGTATATTTTCATATTCCATTGTTTCTAATTATGCTTTGTATAAGTCTACATAATTAAATTTAAAGGGTTAATGATTTTCCTATAGTATATATGCATATACATGTTTAAGAATATTTCATTTTATTCATTTTAGAATATTTAGGTTAATTTTCATTTCCATTGTTTCTTCCTCCATCCCTTCATTTATTAGAGTTGGAATGGATCTGTTATCATGTAAGTTTGGCTTATGGTAAGTGTATTTCCTGTGAATAGTGTTGCTGGGTAAAAGAGCATGAACATGACTATATTTGCAAATGAAAGAATAGATGTTAAAACTTTTAATGTTGGCAGCTGTGCAAGTTCATAAAAGTTTCACCAACATCTGGAGCATTCTATATCAAAACTTAAATATTTTTGGCAACTTTGTGGTTAAATTGTTATCTCAGGTTTGCTTTAGTTTAATTTCCTTTTTATAAGGAAAATAAATTATTTTCTATTTTATGGTTAGCCTTTGTATTTCCTTTTGTATAAATTCTGTTTATCTATATTATAAGGTGTACATTTCTATTCTTCCTCTATCCTGAGAGTCTAAAAGCAATTTCTACTCAGAGGTAAGGAATTTCATAACCTTTTGCATAAAATATTATTTTAATATATTCAATATATATATTTACTATATTTATACTATATAACACACTTAAGTAGGATCTGGGTTGAATATCCTAAAGAACCTACAACATTGATTAAGTTTAAATTTTGTGTTTGATTTTTTTCCCTTCTTTTGTATTCTAGTTAATGGAAATTATTTACAGTTTCACTTCACTGTTAGACATGTGCCTCAAATAGTAAAATAAAAGCTATATTTAAGGAAGAGATGTTGTAATAACCCTATCCATTCATTGCACAGTCACTTGAACACGGGGACATGATGATGAACTGGCTCAGAGCATGCTCTCAGGGAGCTTTTTGGTCTGATTTAGGAAAAAGAATGATAAGTAACTATGACAAATATGCTGTGGTAGGGGGATCAAAATCTAGAAAGATTCATAGCAAACTGACTCCCCCAAAGCCAACAGAGGCCATCCAGTGTGAAGCAGAGGCATTTAATCTCACTTGAGGATTGAGATTCTGCTGTTGCTCTTGGTTTTATTATTTTCATTCTCTGTGGGTGAGCACTGATAGGTCACTTTGTCTGCCCCAGAAGGGACATGTAAGCAGCATGGGAGAGGAGTCCAGTCTCAGGGAGAGAAGCCAGGCAGAAGCCCTGAATGCCAAACTCCTCTACCAGGAGGTCTGCTTGGCAGCTCGGTGTCTCGACCTCTTCCTTTGGAAAGGAAATGCCCACAAAGAGGTGTTCAAGTCTCACGTCCTGGCCCTTAGCAGCAACGTTCAGAGAGTCTGCGTTCAGCCCATGTTCCTGCATCCAGTGGCTTATGGGGGGAAGGCAGAGGAGCTGTTATGGAGGAAAATGTACTCTGATGTTGCCATGCTGCTGCTGACGACCAACAGGAAACACATGGACACCTCCGAACACTGGGCGGGCCCCTTGGGGATGCATCTGAGGGCTGGCCTCAGATTCTATGAGCATCTTTTCCTGTTCCTTCAGGGTCACTATGGGCTGAGATTACAGAGTTATATAGATTGACCTCACAGCAGCGTGCATTTGATTGGCTGCAACAAAATAGGGCCCACATCAGATGAAGAGACTGCCTGGGTTCAAATGGCCTGCCATCGCCATCTGCTCTACCTGGAGACTTGTTTTGCTATCAGAATGAGTTCCTAGCACTGGCCACCGAGGACTTGGCAGAGAGATGTTACTACAAAGCCCTGTCAGCGGCCCCACACTTGGGAATGCCCTTCAACCAGCTGGGAGCTCTTGCAGGGAGCGTGTGCTATGATGTTGCAGCCACCTACCTCTACCAGCTCTGTCTCCACTCGGATGTGCCTTTTAAAGGGGCAGCGTGGAACCTCAAACGGCTCTATGATCATGCAGGGCAAAGGTAACGGCCATCTGAAAAGGTACCAGGGAAAGAAACTGTCTCCAAGCCAGAAGCAGTGCTGGGATAACAAAAGGCTGCTAGTGAGCTTCCTCTACCTACAGAGCCTCCTGCAGCTGCAGTGGAAATTCAAAGCAGCCAGATTCATAGCCTTGTGCCAGCTGGTTCTGGAAGACTTTCGTCTCTGCCTTTCCTATCCGCCATGCCCATCTGACTCGAGCCAGGTTCCCACAGAAGGCAAGCCCTCCAGGGGCTGCTTATTTCTTCCAGACATCCTCATCTTGCATATGGTGGTTCTTTGTCTCATGAATGAGCACAGCCTGAGAAAAATAGACTGGAGACGGCACAGGCTGGCAGTCTTCTTCTTGTGGACACTTTCCTCCCATCTAATTCAACAAGTGAGTACGCGAATCCAAGCCAAGCTCCAGAAAGGGAGGCTGACTCCAGACACAACTATCTCCAGTGACGGAATCCAGAAGAAAGAGACGGGGGAGGGACAACAAGACGTTCCAGCCCCCTGCCCCAGCCTCCTCCATAGCAAACCCCAGGACAGCTGCAGGCAGTCTTGCGTTTCTGGCAAGAGCTGCGTCTCGGAAGTCAGGTTTCATTCCTGCAGCAACTCAGATGAGACAGATGAAGGGAAAAACACATTCTTCAGTCCCCAGGTCCACCCGGAAACAAGTAGTGACCCTTCATGTTCAGATTCTACTGATGAAGAAGGGAATGGTGCCTTGCATCCAGAAGCAGGGCAGGAAAGAAGGCCCCCATCCAAATACAAAGATGCCTGTCCCAGGGATAAGTGGAAGGCTTGTGAACCTCCTGCTTGTCTCCTAGATCTCTTGAAAACAACTATTCCTGCCAACTTGCCAACACCACCGAGTCTAAAGCTCCAAGGAAAACAGAGCTTACCCTTGGCTCCTGTCTTCATTCATGGTGTTCTGATGCCACAGTCTGAGCCAAGCCCTGTGTCCAGTGGTACCTCTGGTACAAAGGGTGATATGCGCAGCTTACTTGAGACAGAACCTCCTGCTGGCTCCTACCGGGGACAGAAGGCCTCCATTGGCCAGGCTGGCAACAATCTCCAGACCATTCAAAGAAAATTGAAGATCCTCTCTGCAGAGGGGCTGCTGCCCACCATCCAAGTGATCTTGGGCTGGCTCCGCACCAACCACAGCCTCCTTACCACATGTTGGCGGAACCCACTTAGCCTGTGGGAAGACATATGTGTACTGCTCAACTTGCTGCCATCAGTGGAAGCTCTTCAGGAACCAGGCCTGGGCCTGTCCCGTCACCTCCAGGACCTTGTGCAGAGTTGCACCAGCACAGAGAACCCCAGGTTCCCGCAGCTCCCTGAGGACATTGTCCTGTGCCAGTGCGCTCCCCTGCAGGTGTCCCAGGGGAGACTGGGTTTAAAGCAGGAGCCCCTGCCACTCAACAGCCAGGATGAAGCTGTCGTGTACACCTGTTTCCTGAGGAGCTTCGGCCACTTTGTGACCAGACTCCCTGGACGATTTCTGAGGTTCGACTCTAAACTGGGTATCTTTGTGAATACTGCTTCTGAAGGGCCAGAAAGCTCATCTCATCAGCTTCCAAGGGTCACATTTTCCAAAGACATTGCCCAGCGCTGGCTTCAGTGTGAAGTGATGTATCTGGAAAAGACCCTCAGGAGCCCCCAAACTCAGTCAGTTTTGGCCGCTTACCTTTTCCCAGACCCTAGGGCCCTCTGTAATCATCTTCCAGTCATCAAGCAACTCGCTGCCAGTGGTGAGTTTTTCCTCATCATACCCAGGATTGTGGTCGACATACTCTATGTCCTAAGGAAGAAATACAGCAGGGCCTCAGCAGCTGTTACCTTCTTAGAGAACGAGCTGAAGAGAGGGAACCAGTACATTCTATGCTGAGCTCTTGTGTTTCAGTTAAATTTCCTATCATTTCTCCTTCTCAATTTTTTAAAGAACACCGTTTTTTGACATTTTATTATATTTATTAGAAAATTTTCATTGACTCAAGAAATAAAACCCCATAGATTGTTTCATTCTAACATTACCATTTTTTTCTGTTCAGTCTGTTGTGTTTCCTCTGCATGCATATTTTTGTTGATGTAAATATATTGGCTAAATATGTTTTCAGCCAACTTTTATTTAAATTACAAACATTTCTTACATTATTGTATTATTTCATTGTCTGCCTTTAATAATTACTTCACATCATTGCTTGTGTAACTATTTATTTTCTTAATATTTTAGTATTATTAGTTATTATGTAATAAAGTGTCTTTATCTGTTAAGTTTAATTTCTTAGGATAGATGAACAGAAATTGATTTACTGAGTTAAAAAGTATAAATATATGTGGATGCAAAATAAATGTATTTTATTACATATATAAATAACAATAACTTTTTAATAGACTTTGTCAAGAAAATAATTTTGAAAATAGGAATAAATATTCTATACAGACCTCGAGGCTATGTTTTTCACAAAGTTTATTATAACCATTTTTCAACTATTTTTATGATATGTTTTTAGCAAATGACCATCATATTGGTATGACATAATTTGTTTAATCATTTTGCTATTTTTGGACGTTTGTTTCTACATTTTTTCATGTTATAAATAAAGAAATTTTTATTAGTGCCTTTGATTAGTAGGATATATTCCTTGAAGTAGAATCACTGAAACAAAGGGTAAGAATATATTAAAACCCTTAAGAGAGTAAATGATAGTGATACTCATTCAATTGGCCTCCAGAAAGGTGTGAGAATTCTTCCAAGAGTTTGAGTGTCATATTGCACTGTATTAAATTCAGGGAATTCTTTTTTTCCTTGCCAATTTGATAAGTGAAATTATCCTTATATTTTTGACTACAGAAGCTTAGTTTATATATTAAGGTTTTTGCCCTTGTCCTTTTTCATTTTCATAGTAGAGTTCTTTTTCTTCCTGCTTATGGTAGTCTGCAACCATACCAAAAACATGTGAGAGTATGAGCTCAAACTCCTAATACAACTGCGCTAAGTAGAGTTGATTGCCCCTGCAGTTTTTGCATTGCTTGCCGCAACCTTCCAGGTATAGTTGCAGTCACATGAGAGAACTTATCAAACTTATGGTTTAAGAAGGGGAAACAATAGCTCAAAGCATGTAGGGGGGGCGGAAGAGAATAAGAAAACAAGAATGTATTATTTTAAAAATGCAAACATAATTGTCTTTCTGTTAGGAGTTGCTTGATGTTTTACATAGGAAAAACATGGACAACATTTAGTATGGAAGACTCTTTCAAAAAACTGGGTTGAAAGGCTCCAAATTACATTTGGAAGGTTCTAGTCTAAATAATATGAATGAATTAGGACAAGAAAATAAGGAACAGTACTTACTAACTGGCAGAACAGGGGGTATTGTAGTTGTATCTTACAATGGGTTTTGGTTCTTTCAAGCCCAGAATTCTATTCTCATCCTTTCTATTAAGAATGAATCATTTCAAAATGCCTTGCCAGCTCTCATGCGGAAGCGGGATGTGTGCTCAAAAACCCACAATGGTAGCAGCATCAATTCATAAAAGTTTTGTTAATTTTTAAAATTTTTATTTATTTTTCACATGCAGGAATCATGATTCCATGAAAGTCCCTTCTTATATTCTGTGATATTTCCTTGCTTTCCCTTCTGTGTGTTGTGAAACTGCAGGTATTAAGCTGGCCATCAGCAGACACCCCTCCTCTGGACTCAGGAAAAAGCCAGGAGTGCTAGGTCTATTTTAAAGATATAATCGCCATGACTTCAGGATGTATGTCACCGACATCTCTAATATCACTTGCTGCTTCATAGTTGCCACAGAAAGAACCCAGCTAAATCTATAGAAGAGTGATGGGGCAAAGAGAAATAGAACATATTATTAGTAAGTGGCCGACATTCACTTGGTTTGCTTAGAGGATGAGTTCCATTTCAGCTGACCAACTAGATAAAGAACTTTAGGGAGGCACGTTAGCTTTTTTACCATTTCCATTCATCCTAAAGTATTTGTCTGCTGAAAATACAATTTTTTTGGCCTAGACTTGTGGGATTGTGGACAAGAGTTTATCTACTAAGACATTTAATCTACTCATCTCTTAATCATTGTATATCATGAATGACATACCCCACAGGTAATATTTCAAGTAGTTCAGTGCCTAACTCTTTCCTTCCTTCCTTCCTTCCTTCCTTCCTTCCTTCCTTCCTTCCTTCCTTCCTTCCTTTGAAAGATAGAGTTAGACAGTGAGAGCGAGAGACAGAGAGAAAGGTCTTGCTTCCATTGGTTCACCCCCCAAATGGCCACTACGGCCGGAACTATGCTGATCTGAAGCCAGGAGCCAGGTGCCTCCTCCTGGTCTCCCGTGTGGATGCAGGGGCCCAAGCATTTGAGCCATCCTCCGCTGCCCTTCCGGGCCACAGCAGAGAACTGGACTGGAAGAAGAGCAACCTGGACTAGAACCTGGTGCCCATACGGGATGCTGGCGCCGCAGGTGGAGGATTAACCTAGTGAGCCATGGCGCCGGCCCCCTAACTCTTTCCTAGCTGAGCTAGGAAAATAACTCTTAGAAATGTCTTAATTATCACATGGTTTTCTGAAAAGTAGTGCTGTGTTTTTTTAATGCATGAGAGTTTATCACTTGGCCTGGTTATTGCTTAGATGGCTAGGATGGGAAGGGGATCTTCTATGAGAAAACTGGTTTATAACTTCTTTTGTACCCTAGAAAGTGGTAAAGAACCCTGTTTTATAGATGAATAAAGTTAAATCAGTCAAGTATATTTTCCAAAGACCTGTGGTGACTAAGTGACCTATTTGATAGCTCATTCCATTACAGATATATCTGGCTCCAAATCCATTCCTTGTAGAGCTGACTTCCTTCTAAGCACATAAAAGTATAGGACAGCCAGTAAACAGGCAGGAAGAGGATGCATCATTGAAGGCCAGTGAGTACCTGCAGGGCAGCTCATGGGTCACAAAAACAACCCTCACTCTAACCCCCTTCTTATTGCCATGGTGATGTGTAAACTTCCCCCAGATGCCCCTAGGAGAGGAATCATTAGAGAGGGAAGAAACAGCCATGACAGCACCATCCCACTCTGACTTGAGTGGATTTACCTAAAAAGAAGCTGCTGTAAATGGGAAAACATTGACATATTTATTAGAGAAATTTTATATTTTGGGTGGAATAGATTTGAAGATAAGATGTTCTGACAGTAACTAGAGCTATATATTTCTTTTGTGTTTATGAGATGAAGTGTGTAAATTTCAGTCTCAATATAAATATGTGCTATGTGTGCTTTTTGAGAGGCCAGACATGTTATGATTGACTAATACATTTTAACTATAATAATTTTTTATATACAATTCATATTTCCATCTGCCTCCTCTATCTGCTGGAATTTTCCACATAGCTTAAATTCAATGTCTAGAAGTAAAGTCATTACTTCTTTTCTTTTTAAAGCTATATTTATTTATTTGCAAGTCAGAGTTACACAGAGAGAAGGAGAGGTAGAGAGGGAGAGGAGAGAGGGAGAGAGGGAGAGAGAGGGAAAGAGGGAGAGAGGGAGAGAGGGAGAGAGGGAGAGAGGGAGAGAGGGAGAGAGAGAGAGAGGTGTTCCATCTGCTGGTTCACTTCCCAACTGGCTGCAACGGCCGGAGCTGCACTGATTGGAAGGAACCAGGAGCTTCTTCCAGGTCTCCCACACGGGTGCAGATGAAACAGAACTTATGATGCTTAATCACATAAAGCTTAGAGCAAGCAGGTACATTGAACTCTAGACTGAGATATTCTAATGTGAGAACAGCAGTGTGCCTGTATGAAAAATGCCAAAAATATGTATTGACTTTAACTTAGATTGGATGTAATTAAAAATATTGACACTGATGACTTTTGAAGTTTATAACCTAGAAAAATGTTAATATTAACCTATTGCAACTTAAAGGAAATTAACTGTGATTCTTGAAATAAGCTGTTTCTACAAAAATAAATCCTACTAGAAATTCTGATTCTTCTTTGCAAACTTTATAGGAAATAATTTTTAGTGTTCATATTGTTATCTGATCTTTTAAGTTCAACCTATGTTTTGTGAGTCTCGAAGAAAATTTTGGGTCATTTAATACAGGAATACAAGTTGTTATGAAATAAAAACAAACTTATATACTGAGTAGAACTGCTTATATACAATTAATATCTTAAGTGATTCCTTCAAATGTAATTGTTTGCAACTATCTTTGGATGTTAGTTTTTGTGGAAAAGGAGAACACTACATAGCTTATCTCAGGGATTTCTCTCTTGATTTTGCCACACTTCGGAATCTGTCTGGGATCTTCAGAAAAGCCAACACACACCTTACAAACAAGCTTCCAAATTTTCCTACTGAAACTTTGTACCGTGTTAAGTTCTTGCTTCTTTTTTCCATTTAAGTCTTCACGCCATGCTGAGGAGACTGGGCTCTGAAGTCAGCTATTCCAGCCTGAGACATGATAAAGGGTGAATTTTTATTTTTTTTGAGTTGATTTCCTCATAGATTTGTCATGCAGATCAAAAGAGCCAATATGTTTAAATTCTTTGCACTGCAACAGGAACATAGTGACACAAATATAGCTGAAATCATGCCTCTCAAATTATAACTCAAAGTTAAAAATCTGAATTGTTTTCCACATTTCAATAACAAATGGAGATGATCCTGTATTTCTGGGTAAACATTTAATTCTATGTTCCAACTTTTATAAAGAAATTTCTGTCTCTGACTTGGAAGAAATCTAATACCAAAATAGAAAATTTGCAATCATTGTATAATGATAGGCTGTGAGATCTGGGAGAACCCATATGATTGATCCAGGACAATCTCCTCTCTTTGAAAATAAGGCATCTGAGACCTAAAGAGATTCAATGACTTCCAC